AGAGAGAGAGAGAGAGAGAGAGAGAGAGAGAGAGAGAGAGAGAGAGACAGAAGTGATCAATCATTGAGTAAACGAAGACGAAATTATGCCGTTATAATAACGATGAGCGCTTATTTAAAGAAAAAGCGCAGAATAGCGCGTTTTTGTCATAAAACTAAAGCATTGATACAATGGAAGGCAGTCATTGTTTTTAGCACTTAAAGTGAGAGGAGCAGGTTGGATGAATTTCACTAAAAACCAGACGATCCGACGTCTGGTAAATGGCAATTCCCTTTATTAAGCGGAAAAAATATACTGTTAGTTAATATAATACTCTCGAATTCCGGATAAATTTCCCAGAAGATTGAATTATAAGCCCAGGCTGTTTATTTGTGTAACAAAGGTAGTTGTCAACACTCCCAGACCAGTAAGCAATCCCAAATTGTCCGATTTAACTCTTATTATTTCATTGGTTTTCCGTTAATTAACATCAAATTGGCTGCAATTTTGCTGCAGGGAGAAGGTTATTACTTTCTGTTTGGACACTCCCGAATTTTTGGGTTTGATTAATTGCTAGAGCTGCCACTGCTGAAGGTTTGATAACTTCAACTATTCCATTCGTCTCATTCCGTTCATTACTTCGCTTCAGCTTGGTTTGTGTTTAAGAGCCTCTTGGGTCGTGTCTAAGATCATATACGGATACGCACATGGCACACATTGAAAAATCAAATTTCATGTTTATAAAAATATATAAATATACATAGTTCGCTTTATACCTATATATGTAAACACGTATATACATATGTGTGTAGATCGGAAATGTGATAATTCAAGTAACAGGTACAGCGGATATGTAAATTAAAAAAGAAAGAGGAGCAAAATCGTCGTAAGGAAAACAAACAAATAAACCAGATCGCAAACTCTACAGGTTGTACAATGTCAAATGTAATCAAAGAATTCCTCTAATCACGGTCACCTCTAATACTATCTGTAATCTCTCATGTTATCAAAATGTCAAAGTGTTATACCTAAAGCTATTAAACTGTAATCTTTAATAACATTAAACTTCAATCTCTGTTGCTGTCAAACTGATATTTCTTTATGAATACTATGAAATGTAAAATGTAATTTGCATTTCGTACCAAAAAAATTAGCAGAATAGACTCACGTTTATATTAAAGTGGTCAGAAATCTGCTGGAAATATTTTTAATAGAATCTTTTTAGTTTTCTTGATGCAGTTAAAATATGACATTTTTTATTCTTCAATTTTTTCCGGTTATTTAAATGTTTTTCTCAATAAATTTTTCTTTTTCAATTTTCAGCAAGAATTATTTACTTCACAAACTTGCAATTTAGTAGAAATTTTTTTCTTTTTACATGAGAAACCGTTAGTTGATTTTGATAGTTGATGGACATAATTAAATCCATTTAGAATTTGATGCTGATCAAGAATGTATACTATATAGAGATAGGCTCTCTGATGCCGCCTTCTCGGTATTGCAAACGTTTTCACGAAATGAATATACCCCTCATTCTTCGGTGACCATTACAACATGCGGCGAAAAAATTAAAATGCCTTATTGGGAAATGAGCAAGCTGATCGAGCGGCGAAGTATGCTGCTTCTGCACGTCTAATTATGGATGATGTCATGGAAAGTTTAGACCTTCGAAGATACATTGGAAGAAAAGTTAAAGAGAAAATTATGGAAGGAAATCTGCAATACTATCATCACCACTACTCCCCTATTAAACCTCAATTAATTCCATCTCTATACCTAATAAATAGTGAGATCAAAAGATGAAAACACTTTCGAAAATTGGCCTTGGCCATACAACTGTAACTCACCACTAGATCTTAAAGAAGTTTTCTTCCCCAATCTGTAATTGTGGACAAATTCTCACTATAGAGCACATTCTTTGTGACCGCCTAAACTTTTCTTTGCTAGAAGTATGCATGTGGAGCAACTAATCCTATGGACATCCTAAACTCAGCTACACGACGCAATATCAGTGCAATACATTACTTTGTTAAAACTATGAAGCCTAATATCTAATGTTCTTTTCGGAAATAGAGCCGACAGCCTGTGTTGTTAGTGCTCAGTGTCTTTTTCTTTTTAGTCTAAGAATTTATTTCATTAGTCTAAACTTATAATAACAATAATAATAATAATAAATTTATATATATATATGTTAATATAAGAATTAAACCGAATTAAAAATCTTTGAGATAACATCACAAAGCTCGCCAGCACAAGATATAAGTACACATGAGGGGATTCCATCAAGTCCAGGCGAACAATTATATTTCAGAGAGCTAAACTGTTCTTGGCGCATTCTTCAGTAATCCATCGTTTCTTGTTTTCATAATTATAAAACCCTTTCATTTTATGGAAGAAAGACCATTGAAAGTAATTAACTCCGTTCCCCAATGTTTGCAGAGTTGGCTTATTAAAAAGATTAGGTAGTCTTTTTGCGCCTACTAATAGCTGTCTATTTCCAAGTGCTACAAAAGGAACGGAAAATTTACTATGCCCTGCACATCTGTAATGTTTATATGTGCGATCAAAAGATAGCGGAGTTAAAAGTAGATTTTGTCATTGTGTCAGTTTAAAAAGATTTGCACTTAAAAGCGCAACAGTAGCAAAGCAATCTAACTAAATTTCACAGTTTCGCTTGTGCTGCAACAAAATATTTCTGTACGTACGTACAGCTCACAGAATATTGGGCGTATTTCCATATTTTGAAATTAGTCATTGCAAAGTGTTTTTGTCTCTCCGCTTTTACGCTTCAGCGGAAAGGAGTCTAATCTTGCTGCAATTACTTTTATTCATAAGTCCTCATCGGTGTGCTGTCGCTGCGAATGACTGTTAAAAAACAAAAAAAGTGGAAGAAAAATTTACGGAGATTCTACGATCCTGAACGATTTTATTTAATGAGCAGAACAGGTGGAAAATATTATTCGGGATTCTTTAATGCTGCATATGCGTTCGCGGAAGAGTAGACAGGTAATCTCTAATACCCAAGTTTTCATTTTTATGTGTGTGTGTGTGTGTGTGCGTGCGTATCTCATGTAAAATATATTATTTGCATTTGATGAATTATCAGAACTGTTATACTAAAAGTATCGATAACAAGTCTGCTTTCAATCAATATTTCTCGATCTGAACGCTATACCGAAACGGTAGACAATTAATTAATGGATTGTATTACATTTAAAAAACAACGCAACTCTTACAGTGCTTATAATGTCAATTCATGGACATCAGTTCGCTGATGCTTGCTCCTTCAGTATGTATCTAAGCGAAGAGAGACGAACGTCGACAAGCAACATTTCCGCCATTTGCTGTTATCTTCTTTTCAACTACCAGAAAATGAGACTGAATTTGCGGAAATGATTAACTTGGCTTGGGATAAAAATTCCGGGAGCTCTGACACGATTACGATTAGTGGTTTCCGAAATCTCGTGCAAAAAATTGTAGTCTTTTAAGGCGGCAACGGTCTGGCAGTGAGCTTGTTTTTCTACAAAATTTTGCGGTTGTGTAAAATCTATAACGGCTTTTAATCTAGAAAATACCGTTAACTAGAACTTCACTCATTTCTATCTCGAAAGTATGGCCGGCGATGCCGTCAGTACTTTCAATTTCTAACCAATTGATTTCAAATCTCAGCTGCGGCTTCATAGCAATATTCTCTAGCGCAGAGTGTAGCATATGTTTCGGTATATTTTGATTTATTTCTTAGGCGAATTGTAACCGATTTTTTTGAAAAATACTTCCCCTTTATGAAACATTAAATAATAAAGTGTTGAATAATGTTTCAAGAGTTTTCCTCTTTATAACCTACATCATATGTGGTACGAGGGTAGAAGGACTTGAGATAGACTCACCTTTTATTAGAATATATTCTGGATCGGGCTAAGCTTGTCTGTCTATCTGTCCGTTTTGTATTCTTGCGTGCAGTTTGCAGGCTTTAATTTTTTACATATTGTTACGAAAATCCCAAATTCAGTTAAATGTCAGCTAAGTAATTTTCGTAAGAATAAATTCCCTAAAGAAGGGAAAACCAAATGAGCATTCGTAGGCGCCTCATGCAGCTGCAGGCCAATGAAAACGATTAGTGGAAAAGCAAACAGGTAAAAGCTAAGTGCATATTCGCAGGCTCGTCATGCAGGTGCAGGCCGATAGAAACGATTAGAGGAAAAACCAGGTTGGGATTAGACCATAACCATAAATTAAGGTATAGTAACATTCTTGTAAAATTGTATATAAATCGAATATTTGTGAAAAATAGAGTTAGTCTGGCAAGAACGTAGAAGTTGACAGTATGGTTAAAATAAACTGTGAATAATCCTACATTTAAGGAACATAATTGTAAATAAAAGAACTTTGAAGTGCATTTCTCTTGTTCAATATATCCACGATCTAGTGATACGGACTGTATCTTGTAAAAAGCGAATTTCATAACAATATTTTCATGAAATTGGATACATCGTAAGGTGACCTTGAAATTGGTGCGCTTCCCATATAACTTCTGTCTTGCTTTGAAAAGTCGATGTACAAATAGCTGCGAGAACCGAAGTGGTGTAGGGTATGCAAGGGTGGGCCAAAATCCACTGAAATGTTTTCACTTGTTTTTTATTCTATATAGAGCACAATTGCGGTTTGTTAGGACGTGAGCAAATGTTTATTTTGCAATAGCTACTTGGGCGCACTTTTCCTTTTAAAAAACTATTGAAAATATTTTTTTGGTCCCTTATTAAATGCAGTTATGTTTAAAAAACGTATTTGAAGAAATTGATTTTCCTGAGTAATTAAACAAGTGAGAATTTTTTAGCGCATTATGCATAATAGCATAATGTCGACCGATAAACATACTTTATTTGTTATACATTTTGACATAATTGAGTTTTCATAGAGTTTAGTACTTACATATGTGTTAGCCTTATTAGAAAAACTAACAATGCTGAAGATTGTGTGAGTAAAGTTAAATTATCGCTTATTTCGACGATTACTACAGAAGTTTACATGACTGCGAGATAAATTATTGCTCATCAACCGTAAATGCTGTAAATGCTTTGCGTTCGAATCAAGATTTAGCCACTCGACGAAACATATTCTTCACTGTGCTGGCTTCTGCTTTTTAGTTTAACAAATTAGAAGGGATTCTCGCTCTTGTAAGCATCTATTAAGGCACAAGGTTACATGGGAATCGTGGCTTGTTCTTCCTCTTGCTGCCTTAGTAGCAATAATATGACAATGCAAATGCACATATTTTTGGAAGGGATATAAAAGCATGATAACTGCACGCTTTCAGCTCCGTCTGCTGGAGAGACTATGACTGGTGCAATTTCGTAACTAGATTTATCAATACTTTAAAGACAACAACAGGGACTTATAAGATAATTTTGGCCCTAAAATAATGAAGGAAAATAAGTCAAATGTCTGAAGAAGATGAGAGAAAATTCGAGGGCTTCCTCTAAGCCTTATCGTACGCTTACTCTTATCTTCTCAGCACAACTTATCCAGCTTGGTTGTTCTGAGAAAGACATTCAGCTAAATAAATGAAGAATTTAAATTTAATGTGAGAGTACTTGTTCAGGTAATACAATACATATACACGGACGTATAATACAATAATGCAAAGCGTCCGCTTAAAAGCAACTACAGTTGTCTGTATTTATTTGCTTTAACAGAAATGTAGCGAAATAACTGGAATTTACCGGTCTCTTACTGATGTCACTGTCGCACATAGAATTTTTTTTTTTTTTTGTATTGATTTTTTGTAATGTTGTGAATCAAGTTTGACATCATTTCAAGATGATCATGACCTTAACCTTGTTAAGAACCGCTTAGCAAAACTTCTTTTTTTAGTCATAGATTAATTGGCAAAGCGACATAAGCTTAGAATTAATTTTATTTTAAAAATAATTACTTCTCTAGTTAGATAAGAAATTTTGTTGTAGCAAGTAAAATATATTAAGTGTCCCTTAATCTTTTCCAGAGATTATTCGAGCCGTTAGCATATGTATACTTGTATATTTGTCTTCTTCTTTTTAACAACACTATTTTGAAGGCGTTCAATTTGCTTAGCCACTAGAGGAACGTTAAGATTTGGGTTTTAAATAAAATATTTAGATATCGATTCTAATGCCCGCTAAGAACCGTGCCTCGGTTTACATCGCTTCTTTTAGTTCAATTCTAGTATTCAGAAACGGGAATCGCAAAAGCCATAAAGTGCGCATGTTCTCACTCTTTCAGAGGAATTCTGCAAATTGGAATTTAGCAGACAGATCCTACGAAAGTTGACGCCATTCGAACTCAAACTCAAAGATATGGTTGTTAACAAGTGACGATTTTTATGCAAAATTGATTTAAAAATTGCTGCAAATATTTACCGGAAACAATTCACAATTTCCTGTAAAGATAGCTTCGATAAGATTGGGGAAAAAGAACTTGGATAATTGTTTGCCGTGAGGGGAATTTCTTGCAAGACTTTCTTACGTAATTACAGGAATACCCGTCGGAGACAGATAAGGCAAGAAGTCATCAACCAGTGAGACGCTTCCCCGAACAAGCTCTGGACTATTGTCGTGGGGAAGACGTGAAGTTTTTATACGCGCCACCGAAGGATGGCCGTATTCTTGTTTTGTCAAAATGTTTCTAAAAGCCATAAATAGGCTTCAGCGATCCCACGATGTATGTATGTTCTTTAACAGAATCGCATTTTGCAAGCATTTAAGCATTCCCGTCTGCCGCTCTATCTGGCCGAGAAAGTTATTTTATAGGCTTCAAATTTGACAGGAAGATTGCGAGTTCTCGCACGTAGACTGGCATTGAAAGCGCCTACATTACTACTACAGTGAACTGAGAATGTCTCTGTTTTCAAAAGACGAAAAAATTCGTGATTTCGCTAATCACTGGCAAACTACAGCAGATGAACGTATAAAACTTTGTAATAGTACTTGTGCAAAAATTGAAATAACCAACGTTACATGGTGTATCAAAATTTCAATTTTTTGTCAACATTTTTACAAAACCTAAAAAGAAACTTTAAACACCTCATAAAGGATTTACATTCTTGACAAGTGCCCAACTGTGCGTTATCTGTGCTAAAAACTTTCTCCCGTTCGTAAAAATGGAGAAATCGCTTTCAAATTTAGTAAAAGAGCTCGACAATCAAAATATATTTGTTTGCCCAGAGTTATGCAGCACCGTAAAGTTGGTGAGCCCCTGTGTTAAAGAACACATATTTTATATACTCAGCCATCACAAATGGTGAAATGAATTGGTGACGACATATATGTCCTCCATTTGTCCATATTTTAAAATCACAAACATTTCTTTAAGATTTTCTCTAAAAAAAATAATATGGCGGTTAAGTTGTTCTTAACACTTTCGTCCAGATATCAAATAATTTATTTTATTTATTTAAAAAATTTAAAATTTTTCTATTTTTCGCATCGTAAGATCTCAGAAATTTGGAGTTTCATTTCTTTAGTAAAGTCTACGTTCGACAATCTGTTAAGTGGAATTAACGGAAAGTCGGAATATGCGCGCATATAATCCGTTAAATGGTAGCTAGTTATATATAAAGACATGGTTTGAAATCTCTACGACGCGTAGCGTAGGTACGACAGGATATGTGACCGATGTAAAGCCCTATGTTCTATGTTCCCGTCATACATCGTACGCAAGCTACTGACGGCAGAAAAAGCAGAAATGTAAGTTTGTTTCTGTTGTCGAAACGTTATTAAGATATCATCGTTATATGACTGACTTGAGGGCGTTGTAGACCCTTTAATGGTTGATCGTGGCCCATTACGATGTTTTTTCTTACTTTGCTAACTGAGTAATGTCTCGCTCCGCCAATTAACGTAGATTTAACTGAGAAGGATCAAAGCACTCCAGGTCTTTCTGGTTTACCCAAGGTTTAATGTTCTATGCTAGAGTATATAAGTAAATTAAGATTATTTTTATAAATCCAACTGATTATTTTTTTCTTTTCACATTTATTACACAATTTTCATTCATGCGAAATTTTCACATGTCTGTCTCTCCATGCAACGAGTCTTAATCATTATTAGCACAAATAAATTAATTATCATAATCTTCCTGCTCACCAAAGTTATCATCATCGTTATTGTTATGACTGTCAACATAATCTTTAGCGGCGTTGTTTTGATGATAACTTCTTGAACTGGCTGTTAAGAGACTACCGCTACTATTGCTACTGCTGGTATTGTTGAAATTCGTGGTGTCTTCTTTAAAATATGTCTTAGTTTTCACGCTTAAGCGCGGCGTCGTCGATTTAACAATGGGGCTACCTTTGTTATTATTGTTGCTATTATTGTTTATGTGGTAAGCATTATATCTGGGACTTGTGGTCTCGCGAAAATCGTATTTGGTGCGGCTTAGTTTGTTAATTGGTCGTTTTTCTCTTTGCTTTTGATGACGTGGAGCCAATGGTTGCTGTTCAGGTTGAGATTTACTTATGGATGCTCGGTTACTGTTGTCGTCATAAGATATACGATTGTTGTCATCGTAAGCAGAAACACAAAATTTATTGCACTCTTCAATCGATTTAAAATTATTGTCATTGCCAGCACAACCGCCCCAATAGAACATCGAACATTTCATGCGTCTAATATCAAAATAAAATCGCTTCACTTTGGCTCGGCAATAGCCAAAATCCATAGGTTCTAAGCACACCTCAGGCAAACCTTTGACGGAAAATTGAAAAATTTTGTGAAATTTTTTTTCAAAATAAACTTCTAGCCTTATAAACATTTTGAACTTTCACAGTTTATACCGACCTTCATATCGATCGGGTCCGTAGAGACCGACCGTAAGACCTTCCGCTTGCTTGATCGCAAAGGGTTGTATTAGTAATAATAGAATCCCTTGGGAAAATGCTGCCGTTAAAAAATGCATTTTCTTAGTACGCAAAAAACAGTCAAGTGTATGTGCGCTCGCGCACAAACTTCACACTCTTTAGCACCTTATGGTAACAAAAATCAAAAAAAAAAAAAAAAAAACAACAACAACAAAAAAACACTTTTAATTTGGTTCAAGTCTTGCCAATCAATAAAGCACGTTGGAAGCTGGTTTTGTAGTGAAACCTAAAGTTTTCACTATTTGCGTGGCGGTCATTCAAAGATTTAATAATACCAACAACAACAGTACATAACAACAATCAAATAAAGCCATCGACCAGATCTTACTATAAATTTTGCTTTACTACGTTTACTGTTTCTTTTTCTAATTCACTCAAGTAGAACTAAAGATGATATGAAAATAACTATAAACTTTAACAAATCTTTATATGATTCATTAACACACGCGCACGTACACGAACGCTTAATAGGAAAGAGAGAAAAAAGCAAAAAAAAAAAAAAGAAAAAAAGAAAAACCAAAAAAATTGTATTGAAAAGCGAATTTTCTTGGTTTGCTTGGTTGGTGTTGAATGTTGCGTGTTGCTCTTGCGTTCAATTGAACTATTCAGAATAAACTAATACTGGTATGCGGTCCGAATCTCTAATGTAAAATCTTAAAATGAAATGCGAAAAGACTACAGCGACAACAACTATAACAAGAGAATGAAAATCAACACACATGGTGGCGCAAAACCAGTCCTCTTTGAATAATCGTACGTATCTAAGTAATGTAATGTTGTCTCACCTTCATTCACTTGTTGCATGCATTGTTTAGTGTACCAGCTTAAGCAAAAGCAAAAGCGTTTTTTTTATTTTTATTTTTGTTTTTATTTTCCAGCAAACACATACCGAGACATATGTTTGTTTTTAAACATTCCTACGTTCGCCTCTAATGTGGATGGATGCCGTGTTATGGCATCATAAACGCTTTCAATCGATTACAGACATACATTTCGAATTGATTTCTACGATACGTTGAGTTTCAGTTGCAAATCTAATGAATGACTTTGACTGTCGCTAATTCAATACGCGTTAAATACATAAACAATTAATATTTTGTATATCTATGTATGAATGTGGATGTGCTGTCATGAAATTAAAATCCTTCTATGATAATAATGTTAATATAAAACAGAGATCCAAGAGACCGAATCTTTTATTCCAATCACCGTTCGATACTGATCTAGTACTACTAGTCTACTAGTCTGTTAATAAGTAGATTTTACAGGGTCTCGGAACCTTGTCAAAATAGTGATGATTTAATATTCTGTAATATTCACTGAGTAGGTTTGGCCGGTTTTTTCCATTTTTTTTTACAGATGCCACCCCATTGAATATATTTGTTGTGATTAATAGGTAACGATCAAAAATTCACTTAATTTAAATAGCAACCGGTGCGCAAGAGCTTCCAATCTTCGTGCCAAATTTGAAGCCGATGACTGGGTTTTTACGATTTGGAGAATGTTTACCACCGGCGTTATGCAGAAAGACAGACGGAGAGACGAACATGCTTACAATGGTTTCGCATTTGATGCGGTCTCCGTGGTACGTGGCAAACGTTTGGACAAAATGAATATATCTCCCTTTCTGCGGTAGTGGGTACAATAAATAGGAAAATTATATTCGTTTTGGGACGAACTTCTGATATCCACTGCCGCAACCTGGTGCAGAAAATTGTAAGATATATTCTTGATACCAATCGGTCGAGGGGTCTTTTACTAGGAGTGGCACAATTGTTAATCATGTTGTTCATGTTATTATTAGCTGCGCTATGCCTACGCCATAGCCTGAACAACGTCTGCTTTCAAATGTTTGATGTACTCGTAAAGAAGAAATCCCTGAGTTAAATCTCACGGTCGAAACGGTACACGCGACCTAATTGAAAGGTAACTAAAACATAAGCACCTGAGCACAGCTGAACTTTGCCACTTTGGTAAAATGTTTCAATGATTTCTTACCGTTCAGGAATTGTCAGTCGTTGCGTGATAAGTGAAAATTACACTTTTCCAAAGTATCGCTTTTAGTGAATGATCCTTTATTAATATACGTCATAGAATTTTACAATTTTTCACTAAAGTTTATAGACAATTTTTATATAATTATGTATTATTAGCGTTGTTTTTTTTTTTTTGTTATCTCTATTGAGGTTATGGAAGAGACACTGGAAACATTCCATTGGCGCACATAAGCGTTTGAAAAACAAAGTTTATGGAGATGGATGAGCAGGTGAACTGTTCCGAGTTGACTTAGAAATCAAGATGAGTACATTTTCCTTATATATCCTTGATGACATAAACGGAAGAATTCCATAATATACGCTACTTCCAATTTACCAAGTGCATCCTAAAGTGAACAGGACTTTTTCAGAGGAACATATTATGGTGTGGCCCGTTGTCGATGGCTGGATAATGTTTTTTTCATCGGCATATGCATTTTTACGCGTAGATAGAAACGATAGGTGTTGAAGTGCAATTTGTTTCAAAAATTTAGTCAGATATGTAGGCCTTTCTGTGCAATTTTTACTTAAATTTTGCATAAGAAAGTATATATGGATTTTTGGAAGAACCAAATGTTTGCTGGATTGCCCAACATGTTGGTCGTCATTCATGGTGTCATGATTATGTTTGATTTGTGTGTACCCGTTGCGGATTTTGCTATGATGTAAACGCCGCTCATAATAAACTTATTTCGTCTCGCCTTTTCAAGATTCAATTGCATTTCAGATGCACGCTTGAGAGAAAGTCGGCGAAGAATGTATGTTTTCAACTCTGGCGGGTATGTTTGGCCCAACCGATTTATCGTTTTGTCGGGCCTAATTTTAAATTTGACCGAAAGAGGCTGAAAAGAAACAATTTGAAACTTAAATCTAAGCCAAAATCACTTAAGTGAATTGATGCGCGTGTTGAGAAAGGGAAACGTTGCTAAGTCAAGGACGCTGTTAGGATTATAACCTGGTCGCGAATCTCAAAAAAATGCTTACCGGAAAGATACATGATTCCACTGAAGAGGTGATCGTTGAAACTTAAGCATACGCGCGCACAGCGGATATAACCCAAAAAAAGAGTAACTAATTCAATATAACAACACATTAGACCGTGTGACGGTTATACGTGCTCAAAATGGCTGACGGACACGAAAGTAAGCTGCTAACAGCATCAATTTAATCGCGGTTTTAACAGATAAAAACTAAACGAAGTATATTTCCACGGCGACTATCAGCCAAGTTTCCAATCCATATTTTGATAACTTATGGTTTATTTTATAAATATGATATGCACTTTAGCAAAGCTATGTATGAATTTCATGCGCAAAGGTAATATAACTTATTCTGACAATACTCTGTATATATCCAGAAAGCATGTCCATCCATAATAAAAGAAACAAAAGATTGTTACGCCGAACGAACCAATAGGCGTAGAAGTCTTCCGTTTCTGCTCATGACTTAATCAGTGAAATCTTGCATCAAATAAAATAAAAGCGACCGCTAAAGTTTTACGATTGAATTAAATTTGTTATAGACAATGGATGGATAGATGACGCAAGCTTACACTAACAATTATTTTGATGAGGAATATATGATATGTGCGTATAATATGTGCATATATAGAGAATTTGTTCTTCATTGCTCAGTTTCATGCTTTACAAGCACATGTCAAATCTAATATGCCTCCCGTGATGGATATTAATACTGCGAAGGTGATATGTCATTATTAAATTTTCAAAAGCTTATGCAATTTAAGTTTACCTTAACAAATGAGGTTTCGATCTTGCTTAACTTCGATGATATTGAAACAACAAATTTTCAATAAAAACTTTCCAAAAAGTGAATAATAATGAACTATTAAAAATTTGCTACATATTCATCGAGATAAATTACTTACAATGCAAGTTCAAGCAATATATCAACATATTTTTTACAAATTGTTTCTTTATAAAATATTCTAACCAAATTTTTTTTAGAAAGCTGTGTTAGTCGTTGCCAATAATGGCAATCAGCAGAATATTCAGAAGGAACGAATGATGAATTTTTATAGCCCATACAAGTCACCCAGTTCGCTATAGAAATTCATATTGAATGGGGGCAGAAAAACGTAAATATTCTCTGTCAGTAAGAAATTTCAAACCCAAAAGGGAACATACAGTGCTTTCGCTGCGCCCGTGATGTGCTGCGAAATGTCAATGTCAAAGATATTTAAATCTCTTGATTTGTTATGCAAATAGCTAGATTGCACGGTATCGAAGCGGTATTCGACTCTTACGGCCTTGGCTGGTTCTCGGTGACATCATTGTGACTATAATTAGTTGTAATGTTTCAACTGTATGTGACAACGATCAGGCCATTAAGGAAAAAGGGCGATTTCCCATTACAAATCGTTATCCTATTTATATACATGCATCTAATAAGGTTAAGTTCGCAACTTAGGACGGAAATTACGACGTGCCTAACGACCGCCGGTCGTCAAATCCTGGACCAATGTGACGTTACGCAAATTGTGATCAGTCATCACGCGGGAAATTATCCCTTAGGTACTAAAAAGAAACGCCAGTCCTCTAGCGATGATCATTGACCCGCACAGCTGCAAGATTGGCTTCAAAGTTTCGACTTCTCTCTTTGTCTCAATGAGACAACATCAATGTAAAAAATATATTTCGTTACGCGTCGGAGCCATTTGTTCTTTTACCGTAACGTCTACGTTAAATTATCGCCAGTCAGGCCTACAACCAAGGAAAATTCTTATAATTTTTAAATGGTACTGAGATCTATAATATCCTATGGTTAATACAACAAATGAAAATGGTAAAGTTGAGCTTGCCTTTACGGACTAAGCTTTTGCGGTAGTTGCCAGCGCCGTAGTTTTTTAAAAATTGAAATAAATAAAAAAATTTTATGATATAACATCAAAAAGAGGAAGATGAAGCTCGATCGTCCTTATTATAAAATGCGACGGCTGTAAAAGTTTACTATACTTCAATACTCTTTTCTGAAACAAAGTTTGGAAACATATTCGCTTCAACAATAAACAGTTGATCAAGTCGACCATGTCTGTTGGTTGAGGAAAACATTAATATTCATGTATTAATCAAATAATCGTAAGTGTATTTAAATATAATTACAATTTACTTCAATTATTTTAATTAATTTTTCACTTGTCGGGTAAATGATGTTTGCCCATAAATGTCTGTAAAAACAAAAGACTGTGGTCACCTTTAAAATCCTAAAAAAATTTATGTACATATCGCATGCAATTAAAATTTAATTTTCCATATGTCGCAGCAACAAAACAAGTTTTGAAACCAAAAAATAATATCAACCAAGTAAGAAAATTTCACGCGAATGTGGCCGAATATGTTACACTCGAAAAAAAGAAATTTCTATACTTTGTCGATTTTTCCATTTTCATATGCGTAATGGAGGGTCACTGGCAGAATATGCGTGCGAGTTTTCATCGTTGTATCTGTCACAAACAACAAACTCAACTTTTCAATGGTGCTCTCCATTTATCTTGTACATTGCGCCTGTTCTTTGACTTGGCTAATGACTTGACTATTTTTAATGCCAACCTGCGTGCGAGAACTGCCAATATTTTTGCCAAATATGAAGACGATATTCTGACTTTTAGGTTTAGATAAGTGTTTGCTTTGGGCAGACAGACAGACAAGGTGACAGACGAACGCGCTTAAATCAACACAGAATGTGATCCTAATCAAGAATGGACGTAGTTTACAGGGTCTTTGAGCCGTCCTTCTGCAAATTGCAAACGTTTTGACAAAAAGAATATACCCTCTTCCTTCGACGGTGAGTATAAAAAAAACACTTTTATAAATGAGAGTAAGAAAAACGCAAACCAATTAAGTTTTGTTTAACAACAACAAGTGCATTTCACAGATTTTTTATTTATATATTTGAAAACTTAACCAAAAACAATTACGCAATATAATCAACACCATATATATTATATATGCATGTGTGGGAAAGCGCACACAAAAACTTCGTGTTGATGCGGATGTTTTTACAACACAAATATGTCTTTAATGACATAATTGTTGACATTCTTCTTGAGTATCGAAACGATTAGCGTTGCCCTGACAGCCTCCATAGAAGAATTCTTTGCAAGTCTTCGCTTCGCTATCGTAATAGAAATTTAATTTTGAACCACGGCAAGGACCGACTTCCTTTGGTAAAGAGCAATCTGCTAAAGCGAGCAAGTATTTAATCTATGAAATCATTATTTATTCTCTTGTAAATGGTTCGTTACCCGATTTGTCAGCGGCTTGTACTACGGCACATAATACAATAACAACACTTAAAAGAAATAAAAGAAATTTCATGATGATATGTTTTTTTTTTTTTTGTTTTTTTTTGTTTTTTAAGAGAGGACGATCGATGTGTTTAGTAGTAGTACTCGGTATGAAGACGCGTATGCGAGTGATAAGTTCGACTAATCTGACAAGCGATATTTATACTTATCACCGAATTTACTTAACGGTAAACAATGGAAACACTAACGAAGGGCTCGTTTGTTTTGATTTTACTAAACTACACTGATATTAAATATTTACTGAATTACTTTTCGGGTTTTTCCTTTCCGCAGCTCTGAAGTTATTACACGTAAGTAAGTAACGTTACTTTAAAAAGTGAAATGTATTCAGAGTTGTTTACATCATTATTATTTTTCTTTTATATGTAGGCCAAGTACATAGGGGATGTACTCTGTGTTCCTATAACATGGCGATGATTGGAAAGAAGTGAGAAAAGAGGAAGAGATATGAAGGAACTATTGGCCGTAGACTAGCGGATAGTGTGGATAGCCTATAAATTTTATGCTTTTGCCAATTGGTCATTCACTCACAATGGTCACGACCAATGTAAACTCTACCGCACTAGAGATTTAAACTCACAAACACTAACTTAATAGTCGCTATTCTTACCTACTCGGCTATTTATTCGGATATTATTGACTTCATATGTTTAAATTTCATTCTTGGGCTCGTCATACTTAGGACCAGACATCAGAGTCGCACGAGTGTTCAACATTCCAATTAGATCTTTCTAACTTTCTCTGTCTGTCTTACATAAAAGTTTAAAATTTATGACTTGAGGTTTGTTCGAATTCTTTATTTACTTCGAGGTCTTCTCCTAAGCAAAGTCAAAGTTTCCAATATTATAAGAAATGGTAATACACATAAAATAGACGACTGCACTCTTTCAACTCTCTCATCTTTTTACTTCAAAATACTTGAAATATCCCTGATAAACATTTTTGATTCAGATAATGGGTATTCAAAATTCGCCTTGAAATAGCCTTGAAGTTTTTAGACAAATATTAGTAGCAGCGCTATTCATTATTATATACTGACCTTTAACTTTCTCATACAATGTGCTTAGTGCTTAGTATTGATAAGACTCGACGATTTCTTAAAAGAGTACAAACGACAGATTTATCAACCAAGTGAGTATACAGGCGTGCTTTGTTTATCACCAGGCTTGTCAAACACAGTTTTGATACAACAAAAACGGTGCAAAGTATGCCAATATTATAACACGGTTTTGACATAATACGATTTCCAAAATTCGAATATGTATTCCGCTCGATTTGTTTTCCATTTCTTTTTGCTTTTCGTTTCATCGTTAAGAAGAGGAGCTTTAAACAACTTACACCAATTGTTGTACAGGGTATATTATGTTTGTGCGGAGGTATGTAAGACGTAGAAGGACTTAAGATAGACTCATCTCTTATTACACCCAAGCCTCCCTGTCCGTCTGATGACTGTTCGTAATTAATATCAAGCTGCAGGTCGTAATTCTTAAAATATTTTTTGAAGAAATTTGGTGCATTGACGCGCTTTGAAGAACGATGTACACTATTGAAAAACGTTTGGCCTGGTCCACTTTTTCGACCACTTCTCATATAACGCCCTAATTTGGGAGGTCGTTATAAAAGTTTGCAATTTTCAAAATTTCCCGATAAAACTCGCTCTGTAGTAGCATTCGGACACTGTAAATTGGTTTGACATTGTCAATTTTTTTAACCCTCTCTCGTACAACCATTCCAACGAAAACAGAATCTTTATATAGTAAGAAGGCATAATTTTTAATATTTTCTAATACCATCGAGAATTTGGATCACAAAGAGCCCATTTTTTTGATACCATCGCATATAATGAGTCCACCTATATGCAGACTTTTTAGTTTATCTTAAGCTCGTCTAGGATTTACATTTGTCCACACAAATTTACCACATGTGGTGCAGGTTACCGTGAGTGGATGGCTGTCTTATAACACAGTTCTGATAAAACACGATTCGGAATACCCGCATTGTACGAGAGACGCCTGTATATCAATAAATAACTGGTTCATTAGTACTCGCTTATAATAAAGTGTATTTTCTTAAGGCCCAATATAACGACTGGTTTTGCAGAAATGATTGCAGTTTCAGTTTCACTTGAGCTTGGTTGGATTTTATAATATATTATAGAAACGTTTCACGCATTTACATATTTACGTAGCTGCAGTGCAAAGCTTAATATCGTTAAAGGATTAATGTATTTGAATTTTCATATGCAATACTCCTAAAAAAGGGCATGAAAAGAGCCCTGATGGGTCTATTTCCATCTTCGACATGCGACTCTGAGTAGAGTTAGGGCGTTCCCCTGTCTATCGGTTCATTTGATGTTCGATACTTTTCATTGTTTGTGATCTCGACACAGCTGCGTCTACAACCACATCCACTCTATATACATGTATACAATTTGCAATGGATAATGATTTGCGTGTCTTATGAAAGCCTTCCAAGATGTAAATTCAAAAATGAACACATTCCCCTAGCCTATCAGATATTTGAAGCAAAGAGATTATCTTGTCCAGAGCGAACAAAAAGCTTTCATCGGTCCATCACAAATATATTTTACAACGTTGTATATTGCTTTGAATTGTTTCGTATTTTTCTGAAGATTTTTATGACTTGTTCAGTTGTTCTGCTTCTTTATTTAAAACAGCACCGAAGCGCGTTATTTTCTATATTTGACCAACCATTCAAAAGATGCTTTTTGTACATGTATACATGCGCGAGGCTTGCACGAAAAGGACTTGGGAAAGAAACAGGTCTGTTTATGCATGCTTGAGTTTCAAGTGGGAATATCTAAAAAGAGATAGTAAATAAACGCAACGCAGAAGTGTAAGGCGGAGTAAATACACGAGACACTATTAATTTACCAGCACGTAATCGAGAAGACGATTTCATTATGTATCATTATGCAGTGTAAAAGATTATTGTCATATGATTACAAGGAGTAAATATATCTACCGGAAAGGTTCGTGTTTGTGAATTTTTTCGGACCATCCTCATGCCATGTTGTATTACAAACTGTACCTCCCCCAAAACTTTTTCTATAAATTCCTTCATGCTTCCGCATCATTTCTTCACAGCTGGAATTCGTACAAAGTAGAGTGACGTAAATGGATTTTGTCACTGGCCATCGGTTCACGATTGCGTCTCAGTTAATGCTAACACGAATCATCAACGTTTTAGCTCATTTGCTAAGTCAGTACGTGTACAGTCAATGACAAAAAGAGACAACTAAATACGCGTCAAGCGAATATGCGCATACTTGTTTTAATCGGAACGACCAGCAAATCTTTGTGGTAAACCTAATAAATGAGTACGACCTTAAAATATTGAAAAAGTCGTCCTCAACGTTAACTTACGCATTTCGAATTGTTTCTTATATTTCCGAGAAGTATACTCTAACTCGGTATGTAGTCAAATTACGGATTCTGAATTTTTGTACAATAAGGACCTTAACCTAAAGTCCAGCAGATAGAATCCATGTTCTCTGCAATAATCGTATTGGTAAACCGATCTATCGCTATCTCAATGAACTTCTCCAAAGTGAGTTTTCCAACACTTAATCTACGTCCTTTGTTGTTATGTTCTTCTTCGTACAGTTCATGTATAGCGTCTCTAAAGCCATCAAGTTTAGAAAAACACGAAATGGCTATTAATGACTTTATTGCCTACACCTTATTAACGATTTGCTGGAATCATAAGGGAAGAGGCAAAAGAAGTAAAATGAAATAAAATTTTAAACGTTCATCGTAAACCCGTGTCGCAACAAGTAAGCGTAAATTTACGGGATATAGACGAAATAACCTTGAACTTGTGCTATCGTAGCAGGTGTTAGTCATAATTGCAAGGTAAATATGTTAAATGTACTTTCCCAACACTTATGCAAAAAGCTTGAATATTTTATTTTACGCATACGATTTCGTACTGATGGCGATGTAGAAATAAAATGTTGCTTAAGTTATACAATTAGTGGTTTTGTGCTGCTACAGGAAGCAATTTTGTATCGAAGTATTGCTACATATCAGTTGTTCCGTATTTAACTAATAATTTGCAATATGAAACTAAGAAAAACCAAGTAATAAAATTGTGTTCATAGCGGTGCGAATTGAGTTCGATAACCCTTCTCTTAATAGAATACAGAATATGTGAATAGAATATGTGAACCTAATGCATTAAAATTAATTTTCTTGGTAAAATAATTTATATTCTTCACTTAATTGAACCCCCTTACAAAACTAACTATTAGTTTAAAAGTTTACTTTTCATGAAAAATGTCATCAATGGTGGAGTTCAATTAAATTGCTAATAGGAACCAATTTATATAATAAAATATTAAAACTTAGTCCTTTTTCCCATATAAAGGCTTACTTATCATGAGAATTTCAATTTTAGTATAGTTAAGTTCTACACCAAATTACTGTCATGGGCCAATTTTCATTCGGAAATGTTTAAAGGTAGACCTTTAAACTTATATTTCGTAGGAACTTCTGTAAGAGGTAAGGTGCAAAGAATAGATCTCCGTCGTCGAAATTTGGTACAGTTAACTTCTAGTTTGTGCACTTGTTGGAGTTACGCTACTTGGGGGGTTTTTGGAAATCGCTTTCCAAGAAATGCCTTTGCCCTTGTAAATGTGATAATAAATTTATATATGATAATAGCTCGCCCGCATTCATCTTTTTAATATTACTTTGGATTACTTAAGATATCATTTAAAAATTTATTAGCGCACTTTAATAGCCTTTTGTGAAGTAGAATTTGAAAGTGTACTCGCTTTGCATTCAACTCGATTGTGTTAATTAAGAACATTCTTATTCTATTCTATTTTGTTGAGCCTAGTATTAATATTTATATTTTAATCATATGATCATAATTATATTTAAATGTAATTATAATTTATTCCAATTATTTTAATTAATTTTTCACTTTTCGCGTAAAAGAAATTAGTCTAAAAAAGTCTTGCAATTTGGTCACTTCGGAAAGCCTAGAAAGAGCATGCATTTATCGCATGCAATAAAAATTCAACTTTGCATATGTCGCAGCAACAAAACGAGTTTTTAAACTAAAAAATAATGTTGGAACAAAGAACTTCTATAGATGAGAGTAAAAAAAAAAACGCAAACAAATAAAATTTTCCTTTAAAAACCAACACGTTTCACAGATCATTCATTTATTTATTTCTGAAATCAACCAAAAGCAATTACGCAATATAACCAACATCATGCACATAAGTGTATGTGCATATTCGTTTCTGGACGGATGTTTTTACAATGCAAATAAGTCTTTAAAAACATAAGTTTTCACATTCTTCTTTAGTATCGAAACGATTTGCGTTGCCTTGACAGCCTCCATAGAAGAATTCGTTGCAGGCTTTTGTCCCACTGTTATAATAGAATTTTAAATACGAAGCGCGACAAGGTCCGATTTCCTTTGGTAACGAGCAGTCTGCTAAAGCGAGCAGATGTTAATACTATGAAATCGTTTCTTTTTCTCTTATAAAGGATTACCTGATTTTTCAGCGGCTTGTACCACGGCGCATAACACTAAAACAGCACTTAAAAGAAATAAAAGAGATTTCATGATGATGCGCTATTATTTTATGAGAGTATTCGAGTATTCTAGTATTATTCGGTAAGAAGACACTTAGACGAGTGATAAGTTCGACTAAAGAGAAGGCGTTATTTATACTTATTACAGAATAATATTGTTGAAGAAAAACAATGAAAATACTAGTAAAGGGCTCTTTTGTTCTTATGTTACTAAACTAGATGACATTAAATGTTTATTTCATTACTGCTTGGGTTTTCCCTTTTGGGAGCTGTGGCGACGTTCAACATTGCAAGTAATGTTATCTTGAAACGTAAAATGTATATATAGGAACTTTTTAAAATACTCATTGACCTTACACACATTTAAAGTTCACTAATCTGTCTGTAATGCATAGAAGCAGACATCGGAGTCTTCGCTTACGTGCACGTATGTTCAACATTCTAATCTCTTCATATCCTACTATTGACGTTAAAAGAATTGATTTTTTTTTTAATTTCTTTTCTCGGCTTATGGCATTTCGTTGAATAAAGTCGACATAGTAATATAGAAAATAGACTATTTCATCCTTTCTCCGGTATTACTCAAAAATTTTTGATTGCTATGAGATATCTTCCATTAAAACATTTTCGATTCAGAAAATGGATATTCAAAATATGTCGCAACATGGCCTTAAAACCGTCTCTTTACGTTTATGGATCAAGATTAACAAACATGGTATTTATTATTATAAATATATTATGCGGAGTGGTTAAGAAAAAGAAGAAAAGCCCGATTTATCGACCAAGTGAATGATATGTCAATATATATTTGGTTCATTAATACCCACGTGTAACTTTTATTCTCACTATTCCGACCAGTTTTCAGATATATAATTTCAATTCAGTTTGATTTTATAATACATCGATCGTAGCAAAAGTTTTATGCAGTAAATCATTTCTGTGTTTCTAAAGTCTGACATCGCTATAGGATAAAAAAATTTGTTTTTCCGTATGCAGTACAGAAGCATGAAAGTACTCCTGCTCAATATAGAATCCTAAGTAAATTTAGCTGCGTCCGTCTGGTGTTTTCATTTTCGACAGAAGAGTGACACGTACATCGTTATTTGAAGGTAGGCGTCATCCATATCCACGATCATGTTCACAAGAGAAAAAGCAGGCATGGATTTGAAACCTTTATGAAAGGCATCTAAAACACAGAGAAAAACAGGCGTTAATTTGAAACTTTTATGAAAGGCATCTAAAACGCAAATTCAAAAAATAAAATAAAACCGTCTTGGAACCTATCAGCAATTTGATACAGAAAAGTTACATTTCCTCTAGCGAGCTATGTCATGCTCAATCGATTATGTCCATCTTCAAAAAGATTATTGTAAGGTCATATGTTTATGTGGTTTCAAGTACCGCGTATCTAAGATATGTCACAAGGCTGTTAGAGCTTTTTTATTCTTTCCGGTCGAGGAAAGCCGAATTAGCGAGTTTTTTGCATATTTGACCAGCTCCTCAGGGGAGGTATGCTATGGAAGGATTGTATGCACGTTGTGTAAACGCGAACGATCCTTCTGAACTATTCTCGCATATTGTACGCCATATTGATGCTCGGTGATAATAGTTGCTACTTGTGCTTGCACCGTCCTTCATTAGTTGATTCCGTAAGTCCCGTCAGCGCATGGTGCACGATGGTCAACCGTGCCAAGTGATGGTGTTCTTGTCGATGGTGATATTTAAGTAGGACTAGTTGTGCTTTTACTTGCCGAATTCGTATCAGGAGTCATACCGCAACACAAAAGCATTTTTTTGATGTCTTTGCTGCTCCAAAATCTTTTATGGGGTTGATTTGCCATGCCAGCAAGTCCACAACCACGCGCACATTAAAGGAGGCAAGTCAACGCTGTATCAACGAAATTCACCCACATTTATGCAAAATGGTTTTGGAGAGTTTAGACAAAAGAGTGCATATGTGCCAGCAAAGCCTTGTAGGCCATGTGCCCGATGTGCTATTCCGCATGTGTATACTTTATGGAATCTCCGAAGCTTTTTTTCCGGTGTTTTGCTAACATTACGACAAAATGAATAAATCCTTCATTCTTCAGTGGTGGATGTAATAAATATGAGATAAAAGCAAATATATAAACGAGTTATTTTTAATTTGCCAAAATAGAAAAACAAACAATGGAAATATCATCGTGCGTAGATCATAAGCGACAAGCCTTATAAACTTTTATGTCGCTTTACAAAGTATTTTTGTGAAATGTAAAGTACGCCTTATGGGGCAGTGGTTGAGACATTGCAAAACAACGCCAACGAACTCCAGTTAGGCTGATGACAATTTGAAAAAAACAAAATTGGAAAAAATATTGGAGAGCAGAAGAAACAAAATTTAAAATATTTAAACAAAACTATCATTGCTTCTCTAAAATTCGGAGTTCTTTTCTCTTAACAGCTAACATTGCTATTGTACTTGTTTTTTTTGGTATAAAAGTCTCATCAACGGAAAAAGAAAACTATTTAGTGAAATGAAGTTCTTCGTGTTTCTGTTTTTAAGCGCAATTGCTTTAGTTTCGTCTGAAACCGGGCATTTATTTAAGAACCGCTCCGCTCCGGTCGACAACGGGAAATATTTTAGCGAAGCATTGCAGAAATATGTTTAATATACTACGCAGAGATCGCGTCTTGCAATGACAATAAAAAATGACTGGTGACGTTCAAAGGAACCATTCTACCAAATCCGTCGTTACCACTTTCGATTATCAGCCATTTCTTCTAGGCAGCGCTTTCGTTCTTACGTAGAATGCAATCTATGACTCAATTCCTGCGTTGCTCTTGAAAGGCAGTCATTCTTCTTAAGCGGAAAACGTACGCTGCCTTAGAGACAAGAGAAAGCATTAGCTAGGAGGAAGCTGTGGATACCATTTGCTACCTCTTTTACATAAGTTCAAGATCATTTTTAATTCTTGAGAGGATTTTTTAAATTTTCATAAAAAATAAGTGCAAGAAGAAGAAAACTTCTAATGTCCGATAGAAACTTTAAAACAAATTCGCCTTTTCTTCAGCAGTCTGATTTATATCTATTATACCAGCCTTTCTCTTCTCGGACTATTCGAGTTAATTTTTCACCGAAGCGAATTCACTTTTAGAACCCGTAACAAAAGCAATTACTCCGTGACAAAACTACATTTTTCGGTAACTACGCGACGCTTAAATAAAATGATGTTTAATAATTACTCCAACTATTCCGTTCGAGCTAGTGGAGAAAATAATTGAAAGTTTAGTCGGTAGTAATAATTTGCGAATGTAAGGCAATTGCATTTCTGTTGAGACGAATATCACAAACACCACCATTGCTATTATACGTGTTTTTTGATATAAAAGTCGCATCAATAGCAAAAGAAAACTATTCAGTAGAATGAAGTTTTTGTTGCTTTTCTTTTTAAGCATAGTTGTTTTGGCTACATCTCAGAGGGGCGAAGGTAAGCTTGTGTAAATCCGAAAAATATTTAACTTTTAACTTTTCTTTAACGTAACGAAATGCCGAAAACCAAGCCTGAAGGACCCGCCATTGAAGTAAGCTTCATAAAATTTTGTGTGAACACCACAACTTAGTAGAGTTCGCTACAGAGTACAGTTTCTGACACTTTAAGTACCGTTGATTTGAATATTTGTAATTCAACCATTGAAAATTTGTAAAATTGTACGAAATACTGCCTAGAGTGGACTGCTTTCAATTTCCATCCCTAAATAATTATATTTCGTTCATGAAATAAGTGCAGGCAGATGTTTAGTCCGAATCGTATGAACTGTTTACTTATTCTTATTAAGAAATAATTTTGTTCTGCTAAGCACAACTTGGGCGATGTAACTGCGATTATAAGAAACCGATGGCTAATAATATGAGGGGAGAGGCAGAGATTGAAGGATTTTTTGCAACATTTATTAGTAGAGACGTTTTTAGACAAAACTTTTCCTACTTTTACGATATAAACTAAATTTTTCCCCCTTTTAGATATCTGCCACATGCCACACTCGGCAAATACTTACGATGCGACTCGTTGTTCCACCGGAGGTCAACCCCTTTGGTCTTATGATGCAAGCGTAAATTCTTGTGTGAAATTTTATTACTTTGGTTGCGAAGGAAACGATAATCGTTTTTTAACAAAGACACAATGCGAACTATTATGTAAGAAGAGCGAAGGATTTATCTTCCGTCACTTAAGTTAGGAGCAGGCATTGGATAATGTTTATATCTAAACCTTCATCTTAAAAATTATATGTATTTTAATATAATATATATATGTTCGCGAATGAGTAAGATAACAAAAGTCTTTAATTATTAAATTTACTTTCTTCATTGAAGTGACAATTAGGGTCCACTAAGTGAACTTTTAAAAAAGTTCAAACAATTACCAGACAATAACCCAGACCGCTTAAGGTGCAGAGTATATTAAGTTGTGCGGGCGTACGTAATACCCAAAAGTTTTGATTGATTCAACTTAACGTCTGTCGATGTACTTTCCTTTTCAACCTACAAGTCGCAGTTTTTGAGATATTTTGATATTTGAATAGTCTTCGACCACTCCCCATATACCGCCCAATATTGAAAAGTCTTTATATAATAAAAAATAATAATTTTGAAAATTTCTCGATAATCCAAATCTTTTGATTCGGAAAGAGCAATTTTTCTAACCATATCTAAAATAATCGTTCCTACGGAAACTGAATGTTTATATGGTGATTGGGCCTAATTTTCCATATTCTATGACGAAAATTGGTTTGTAATTGATAATAGAAAGCAAGTTTGCCGAGCTAAGAACACGTACGTCTATTTTATGGATAGCAGGGGGTACAAGGATTCTTGGAATTTATAAACCTTTGTACGCCCAAAAGTCCCAATTGCTAATGTTTGATGATGAAAATTCATTCATGATAATAATTTGACTTAAAAACAAATAAGAACATTATAGTTGGGCAAGGCCGACCATTAAATACCCTATACCACATTATCTAATACAATTCTTATTTTTATTAGAGAACACAAAAGTTATATCCTGTTTCTATATAAAGACATACTTTTCAAGTGCGCATTTCTGGGGAAGCGGGCCTAGAACCCGTTGTACAAATTTAATCCTTACATAAGGTGGGATCCAAAAATAAGCGTGAATGATCCAAATTTTGCAGAGTTCATTTTTATATGAAATTACTAGTATGAGTCAGTTTTCTTCACTCCATATTAAAACTTAGGCTTTTCTGCTTTACAAGGAATCAATTTTCGTTAAAATCCTCATTAGTGTACGATCCAAAAAATAGACCGCGATAGTCTAAATTTGGTACAATTAATTTTTTTATGTTAAATTACTATTATGATATAATTTTCATCATGAAGCATTGAAAATGATACGTGTTTGTCGCATGAACTTCAGTTTCCATTAAATGGGAGGGGATTCAAAAATTGTCCCAGCCGGTTTTAAGTTTTCACACCAATTTAGAATGCCGAAATACTACTACTTAGCCACCTTTGCTGAGAAATTTTGAAAATTACAATTTTTTTCCATACAACAACTTTACAGGATACGGCGTTATATAGAAATGGTAGAAAAAAGGTAGACCGATCCGAACCATTTTCATAGCGTGCACTGAATTTCATCAAAATATCTCAAAAATTACGATCTGCACCGAGGTTGAACACAAATTTACATCGACAGACATCAGAAACACAACCGGACAGACGGACGGCCATGCTCAGATCAATTCAGATTACAATTCTGAATCGATCGGGTCTATCTTAAGCCCTTCTGCGTGTTACCTTATGTCCGCATCAACTAAGTATATAGCTACAGGATATCTAATTGCCGGCTTTGCCCGATTATTACTCTCTTACATGTTTTTATTTTTATTTTGTTTATAACGTGCATTTAGTTTACAGCAATACGAAGTACGTATTATTTAAATATCACTGAAATTTCGCATGCATTGCTCAAAGAACGGACACGCCAATCTGCAAGTCAAGCATTTTTCAATGTTTTTGATGAGCCAACCATCCCGAGTTTATACCCCACACTGCTTGACGTGCAACACGTCGTTAAGTTTGCAAAGATATATACAACACACGCTCAGCGTGATATTAGCGATTTGAAAATTTTCAACTGCCAAAATTTTAATGCCAAGAAATCAAAAGTGTAGGATGATGTATTTGACATCGATTATGAATACGAGTGTTAAGTTCTATATTTTCTTGCTGTTTTCCCCGCCGTTTGGCAATGCTTCGAACAAATGAGAGGACCCGAGCATAAAACCTTCGAGCAAGAGGAGTGAGGAAGAATATTTAAATATGTAAAAGCGTTTTTATAGTCTTGGCATTGCGGACTAACGAAAAATTTATTGTAATAGGAAATGTCAGCAGCATATTCCAAAACTTCAAGAGCCGATGCAACGACTTCTACGATTTTCATTAACTTCTTTCCAATTTTTTATCTTTATCTGTTTTTTTTGGTTCTTGTATCTTTAAAATAATATTTTATAACGCACCAAATAAGGATTAAGCCATGTCTGCCCTTCTTTGTGGTGTGTGTTGTTGGCGCTATCCTGCTCGCAAGGACGAAGATATCGACTTCAAATTTAGTAGAAACATTGAGATGTTTTTGCACGCAAGTTGCTATTGAAAATGAATCAAATTGGTCAGAAAGGAAACCCCGCAGTGGGACGTAAACTGAACGCAACTCGATTTATGGGTTTTTGCACGTTACCAAGACATTATAACATTTTAAATGCTGATAATTTCCACATAAGCTTTATGGGCTCTTTACGTATAAAAATGGAAAAAATCGGCCATGCCCACACAAACTTACAATTGAATTAATTATAATTTTTTTTTTTTTAATTTTTTTGAGGACGGAGTGTTTAAAACTACTTTGTTCATTGTTCAAAGGAAGATATGTTATTTGGCCAAAAATTGGTTAATCCTAAAATGAATATGATGGGATTACTTTTTTCTCAATAACGCCAACGATATGGTTACCAAATAAAAGAACTTGGAGAGTCGAATTACGAAAAGCGGTGGATATGCGAGGTTTGGCCTTTTTACTTGTTTTTTTCAGATTCAAGTTTGCACCAAAAAAGCTATAGATCGAAGAATCTCTTCCAGGCTTTTTTTTTTGCTTTTAATAAAACGAATCACTTAGCAACCACTTAGCGGATTTACCCTATATTTAAAAAGACAGAAGACAGAAATTTATTGCTTGCAAAGGACAACATCTCTTTTGATATAAAGTGTAATAAAATTAAAGTGGTAAGTTGTGCCTTTCCGATTGAGTACTGAAGCATGTAAGAGGATTTCGATACAAGCTTATACGTCCATATATATCTTTTTAATAACGGAATGAAGAGGAAGAATTCACACTTGACATGAAAGCCATCGTCACATAGATTCCATCTCTTCGCAGAAGCACTCTCTACTTTCGAGTCGCTAGCAATCTCATATCGATTCAATGTTCTCGATGAAGCTACACCAACGTATTCTCGTTTGAGGACGCCTTTACAGGGATATAAGAACTTTCCAAAAATCAATAATATATTATGGAAGTTTAAGGAATACATTTTAGATAATAAACTTCTTTACCTATGTGGGATAGTTTTGACTCCTCTTAGTTTCTGATAGAAAATATGAAAGACGGTTGGCTTTTTTTGTAACATTTCGATCTAGACGCACGCCGTCTCGGCATGTACGAATTAATTTTTCACCGATGCAAATTCACTTTTAGAGAGCATAGCAAATTAAGCCTCTCGGTGACGAAACGAAATTTTCCGCTAATTAAACGATGGGCAATTCATAGCATTTATCGCGACTCAAACTGTTTCTTACAAATTACTAAAGAAAATATTTGAAAATTTAGTCGGTAGCATATACGTAATAATAATTCACTGAAAGCTGGCAAAGGAACATAGGGTGAATTAAAATCAACTCAAACCGCAACCAATTTGTATTCCAATGCTATTGTGCGTGGCATGCTTTTTGATATAAAGGTTCTATCAGCCCCATAAGAAATATGCTTTTTAAAATTAAGTTTCTAATGATTGTGTAGTTAAGCATAATAACTCAAGTTTCATCTGAAACCGGACGTCCACGTCTAACTTTGTGTACGTGCGAGAGGTATTTAACAGAATTAATACATTACGGGAAATCGCTACGGACAACATTTAATGTTTTTTAAACGGTGCATTGAAGGAATATGGGTGCAGATCCTACAAAGTGAATTTTCGATCACTTGTTACACTCCACCGCTCAAATCGAACACTCTGCCGACTTTGTTGTATTGTCCGCACCTCGGTTCTTTCGAGTTCCTCTCCGTCTCCGCAACATTTTCATTTTTACAAAGGATGCAAACTGTGAGTCGATCACTGGGTTGAGCCTACTGCCAGCCGTTCGTCACAATCGCAATTCGTATGTTGTCTGAAGAATCGCAGAGAGCAATTACCAGCGATGGACAATACTTTGGGTAATATACTTATTATCACTTTTTAAGATCTCAATATTTACAAAAAGTTTCTTAGAACTTACTTGTACCCTTAACAATATTCAAGGTCAAGTCTATTTTTCATTTTCACAAAAGATTTTTTATGATTTTCATAAAAAGTGTTTCTAAGAAAAATAAAAAAAGTTTTTATTTTTATTATGAGCAGAAGTGGAACGGTTTCCATCACTGCTAATATCTGATAGAAACCATAAAACACATTTGTGTTTTCTGCGGCATTTTTATCGGAACTTATTATTACATCTTGACATAAATAAATTAACTTTTTACAGAAGCGAATTCACTTTTATGACTTATAACGAATGCATTCTCTCCTTGGCAAAATTAAACTTTACGCTACCTACGCGATAGGCAAGTGAAGTTATAGTTCATCACAATTAACGCAACTCAAATTGTTTCTTACGAGTTGGTAGAGAAAATATGTGAACAACTATTGGAAGCAAGAAGGAACATAGTGTGCATGTAAGCCAACTCAAAGTCTTTTGGCAAACATTTTGTAACGCATTTGGATGTTTTTTGCCAACATTATTATAGCGCTCGCCTTTTGGTATAAAAGTGCCATTAACAGCAAAAGAAAAGCAGTTAGTAAAATGAAGCTTTTGGTAGTTCTGTTTCTAAGCGCCATCGTTGTAGCTTCTTCTATAAAGAAACGTCCAGGTAAGTTTATGTAAACACGAAACGCATTCAACATATTTTTAGAGCGAAAATGCTCAAAAATAAGTTTCAAGGAATCGAAGAAGTCGAAGTAAGTTCCGTCCGTACCTAAACAAATTTCTGTGTAAACGTCAATATATCAACGGAGTTGATAAGGTTCGCCATAGAGTACGGTTTCTGACACGTTGAATATCACTGATCTGAATATTTGCAATTTAACCAAAGGTCCTGTTGGTTTTACCGCAGCAAATATTTATAAAATTATACGAAATACTAATTGGGGTCATTGTTGTCAATTCCCAGCCTAGAATAATTATATCTAAGCACAATATTTGGACGACTTAGCCGTCAGTACAGGGACAGAACCCCAATAAGAGAATATGTAGATCTTATAGGATTTTTCCAACGGTTACTAACGTGCACGTTTTGGGGCGATATATATTCCCGCTAGAGCATTGCAAACAACGAGCAATAAAGAATATCATGTAAATGAATTTTTCTATTTTTTACTATTAGACTTATGCTATTTGACACATTCGGCAAACACTAAGGATCAAAGTTTGTGTACTAGCGGAGGCCAAAACCTTTGGTCTTTTGTCTCAAAGGCAAACTCCTGCGTAGAATTTTATTATTACGGTTGCTATGGAAACGATAACCGCTTTTTCACGAAGACGCAATGCGAGGAAGTATGTCAGGATAAAGAAGGCTTCAGTTTATTGAATATAGGAGCAAGTTTTGGCTAATGGTTAATCGAATTTCGATCTTAAGAGTGAAATGTATTATATAATAAAAATCTTTAACATTTAGCTTCCTTTTTTTATTGAAGTGACATTTAGAGTCCACTTAAGTGAACAGTTTATGGCATTCAATTAATTGTTAGTTCACAACAATATGAAAAATGGTAGCCGAAATCGAGATATTTAATGCTCAACGCTTCAATAATATAGCAATGCACTGCTCTTGGCTTTCCAAAGGTGTAATTTACTAAGAATGTTAGCGTAATTAACGCTATGTTGAACTTTAAAAATTAAGCAAACGTTCAAGTAAACAAATTTATCTTGGAATTAAAAGAAATGCAATTATGGAAATCAATCTTGGTATCCTATGCTGTCGTCCCTTTTAAAGTATTGCAAAACTGCTGCAGAAATAATTTAATTTTCTCAACCAGCAAAATGTGATTTTTCTTCAATCGGAATCATCGATACTCTGACTCCCTTGGCAATGTTGCTATCTTCAATGAAGTGTCAAGCGTTCGTGAGCAATGTGATCTCAGTGTTGTAACGAAATCACCCATCTATCTTACTAAGAGTGAAAAAATCACTGACATTATAAAATCTCTGAAAAATAGAAAGTGATCTGATCTTGACAGAATTAATAACTTTTACTTAAAGGAGTTACCTAAAAAAGAGTCGATATTTTGGAAAGTGTCGTCAACATTTGTCGCAAGTCATGTTACTTTCCGTGAATATGGAAATCCTCTAAATGAATGCCAATTCTTTAACCAAATAAAGCCGGAAATAGCCTCTCAGCATACAGACCTATAAGACTGCTTTCGGCAGTCAGTAGAAACTGTTGGAAAAAATTCTCAAAAAGAAGTTTATTCCCCATATATATATATATATATATATATATACCCATCACCGAATGATGCGGGATATATTCATTTGCGTTTGCGACGTTTGCAAGAAGATGGAAAAGAAGATGGAAAATTTTTAATTTGTTATGCCCATTTTTACTAGCAGACAAAAGTTAAACGATGTTGATGCTTTCATGCTTAAATAGCGAATAAACAGAAATGTTTTATTATAACTAAGAAGCACATACACGAGTTGTAGATAAAGGTATGAGTTTAATAGAGACAGAGAGGCGCAATTGGAATGTAGTTTCTAGTATGAGACAATATTCAAAGACCACATCAGGAAACGGTTCCATTCCTCACTTCTTGAGTAAGAAACTCCACATTCCCAGGTATTAAAGTAGGTTCATTAGGCTTGGCCATATGTTGTGTTTCTAGTTGCCGGTGCCGCTCTTTTTATTCCAACTTTTGGTATTTGCCTCGGGACGTCATCTCACAGGCATGTTTTGTAGTTATATAACATAACGCCATAAGACAGGGCTAGATGTGCTCAATAAGGTCCCGCAGCGGTTCAGCGAATATATATCAGAAAGCCTGTTTATCTCTTGTAAACTATTTTCAAATTTGTCGTTTTTTGTGTAAACAGTGGAATCTATATATCGATATATTTTTGTATTACTCGATATGGGAAACGGTAAACCGGCGAAACTTGAACTAAACCAACTAAAAGTTTGATAACATGTAAAGTAAAGTAAATTAAGCAAACGTCTACATAGGTCTCCCAGTAACTATTATCTAATCACCCAGTAATTACTATATAGTCACCTTTAAATTATAAAAATTTGATAACCCTAATAACATTAAAAAAATCGCTTCATTGTGTAGGAAAACTCTAAGTGAACCCAATTTTCCTTAAATTTTCTTTTTCAACTTTCTTTCAGCGTGAAAAAACGGTTAGCTGGGGTTTTTTGAAAATAACACCCAAATGTCAAAAATACCAAAATTTTGTTACACAATAGAGATGCATCAAAAGTGCAAGTAGCAACACCATATTTTAACAGTGAAAATAGATATGTTAATGCAGTTTAATGAAAACACCACTTGACCTCTACGCGACTTTACTTCCACGGAAACGTTTTTTCACAGTATTAGAGAGAAAACAAGCGATGAGATTGTTTCTTCTTTATTTTAGAGTTGATCTTCGTTGCAAACAATTCACAACGAAAATTGCTTCTTCTTATTCACTTTCGTCCCACAATTAAGCGCAATATTTCTTCTTCTTGTTCATATCCGTATACAACATTTCCATCATTTGTGAAAAGTTTCCAAGTTAAGCCAAAGAAAATGTGGTAAGTTATTTTATTATTTTAGTAAATTGCGCAGAAAATAAAAACATACCGCTTTATTACTTTCACACTTGCGATATTCATTGTAAAATTCTATCGTTAGATAACAGCAAAGTTTTTATCTTTTTTTTTTTTCATTAATGTGAACGTTTGTAAATTATTTTATGCATGGATTCAATTTTTTTTTTGCACAGTTCGGCAAGAGCGTCATAAGCGTTTAAAATTGAAATGGCGTCCTGCGGTACTGCCGCGCCGTAATGGCGGTAAAATGGTACATGGAGGTGATTATTTTCGGTAGCAGAAATGCAGTCCAAGAGTTCGCAGCCAAACTTGCTCGCGCCGCCATCTTGTACTGTGTTGTTGTCTGCAATGTATTAAGGATAGGTTCGTGTAAAGTTCAAACACAATGACTAGCAATTTGAATGCCGTAAAGAGAGCTAGGGTCAAAAAGATCCGGTATTAAAGAGAGGTACAATATGAAGATCATGCTCGGTTGCTAAGACAAGTGTTTGGAGATTTACTACTGTTGAAAATATAAATATCGAATAACGCACGCTCGGAAGTCGACAAGATTAACTTACGTTTTAGTGCCTCACAACTGCTTACCGAATCGCGAAGACACGATTTTCAGGATTTTTGAAAGACTGTCTTCATAACATATTTAGTTAAGGAATGAACAATACAGACAATTTGCTCGCTTTGTTTCGCTCAGTCTTTAGTGGAATAAGTGTGGCGTGCGGCACTTATTAATAAGAGCCCCGACGAAGAAACTAATAAGAAATACATCTATTGCCGTTATAGCGTTTATTACCCACCCTCTTTAGACGTTTATTCAAATTGCTGGTTGAAACCCCGTATTAGTGCATCATGACAACCACCAAAGCCTCTGAACTATTCAACAGTACAATAAAATTGACTCCATTTTATTGCAAACATATTAAATGAACATGTGAGTGCGTCTTGAAATAATCATGTTTTATACGTGTTTTTTAAACTCTCCTTTCTTGCAGATATGCGTCGCCAACTACAAAAAAAGGGATTTGCAAATTTCACGTCAAAAGAAAATTCATTGCATCCTAAAAAAAGGTCTCGGCAGAACATTTTAGGTATGTTTCCAATAATACTAAATAATTTAGTTAAATTAAGTCAATGTTTCCTACTTCGACGAGTAGAAATTTTTATATGAAAATAGGAGGTTTATTGAACTTACTATTGTAAACATATTTTAAATTGTTACCTATAAAGTTTTCCACAAAAGTTCAGTTTTAAAAAGCACGCGCTGTAAGCTTTTCAATTAATCTTTAGAGATTCTGACAAAATTTAAAATGCTTATTTAAAGAAAAGCTGTTCGTGATCTTAAAAACATCCCAAATTGTTGGTGATCTCGCTAATGTCCATCTCTTTTATTTGCACCTTCGGGAATTTTTTCAATGACGACAATCGTGCTTCCTTTAATTTTATTATTTGTAACAATGCAAGGAAAAGTTCTTGTTACACCTGTTATTATCAAGCAGACTATTCAATAGTCTGTTTAATCGCGATAGGTTTAGCTTCACAACAGGAATGTCAGTTTTAAGTTCGCTGCAGAGAAGAAGTTCTAGATTTATCTTTTAAACTACGAATGAATTTTAACTGAAAGAGATTTGGATTTCACGCTTTCATGTCATTAAAAACCTAATTGTATAAATGAGGGCAACGATTTTGATGCTCACAATTTATTTTCAACTAACTATACAACGCACATAATAGTTCCTTAAGTGCAATTTCGTCTTTTCATTTACCATCGCCGCAACTCGCATTCCGTGAACGAATCATGCAGAGAATGTAATATTTCTTATAGGCGAACTATGTTATTGCTTGCCTTGTGCTTTGGGCACCTCGGCCGGTTCTCTCGTTTCGTATTGTATTGTTGGCCAATGGTGAAGGTTCTTAGACAGATTGATTACGTTGGCAGCATTCTCTAGTCATGATACCATATCGGCCACAGAATGGCAGAAGATAAATGAGAGATTACGGCAATTCTGACGAAAATTACCCCTTTGACCGCATCTCCAGTATAATACTTCAACCTCTCTTTTTTGCGGTAGGTTGTTCTGTGTACCCATACGGAGTCGCTCACATAGTGACTTTCTCTTCTGCTATCGTGGCTGTTGTCTCACAAACTCGCTCGGTGTGTATCCTATCCGAATACTCTCCAGGAAGTGTAAGATGTGGTTACATCTTGTAATTTTCGTTACAGATACAATACTGTGCTAGGTAACATTGTCAATCTCACTCGTTGAGAAATCTTTCTCATTAGAATGACGTCGAAGGGTGCGACCGACTTCAGGGATCAAGATTGGCCTGCGGTTTAAGAATAGATTGTCAGCGATGGAACGTTGCAATATGAAAAATATAAAATAATCGTTTAGCATTTTTTTTTTGTTAATGTATTTATCAGCATTGATGTGCCGTCAAAATTTTAATTGAATGGTTATGGCGTAATTATACATTCAGAAAATGAAATATTTATTAATTATTTATTGGTTTCCAGTGATAATTGCGACAATAAGTTTAAACGATAAATCAGTGAGCATTGAGAAAAATCCAATGAAATGTTAACATAAGGCTTGTTTTTTAAAACGCATACACCTACACCACCACTTTAAGACTTACGCTGACTTACACATGTTGCATTACTTAAAGTATGATGAATATAGAATATCGATGAAGTCGAGCTGGCTTGCTGTAGCGTTGAATATAATGGTTTTGTTTCATGATGATTATTTCAGATTATTGCTACTGCAGTTAAAGATTTAATTTACCCATTTTCCGAAATATTGTAGTGATTTACCTTTCACAACGTTGAAATTTTATCAAGGAAGCAACCCTATGTTTTTAGTTATTATACATTATCGAGCAATGTATGTTTTCGTCATTTCTACCATTTCGTGTAGTTCTTCGCGGTTCCAGAAGTCCTTTCTTCGTAGTTACCATAAGTACTCAAAGCAAGGCAAAGCATTATTGTAAATTCGTGTTTTCTCAGATCATGAAGAGCTAGAACGAAGTCTTTGGCAACCCATTTCGAATTTCAAATGCATTAAGTTTTGCCAAAATTTCCATTTTCTGCCTTAGTTATTGTAAACGCGCTGATCCCATAATGGCAGCGAATAAAATTTATCTTTTGCGGTGTATGCCAAAAACGGGAATAGGTGAAAAGCATGTTGTAAACGATTAAAAGAATTAAAATTCGTTTCATATAAATAGAAACAATGCCAACAATCCCAACAATGTTGCAACAATCATTTCTTTAAAGATCAAAACATAAAAAGAATGAAAATAACGTAATGGAATTAAAAAAAAAAATCGGGGTACAAGATTGTTGTTGGTAGGCTCACATTCAATAATTCAGCAATGCATCAAAATAAAAATATGCACTGAAAAACCACTTTGGACGAAAGGTTTCCTAGGTAAAAATTGTATATATTAAATTATAAAATTCACTTATACGTCAATGAGATGAAAATTTTAATGAAAATAAGGTATTTTTGGTATTTATCGCCCATATACTGGTAGCTTGGTTCGTCAGCGCCATATCAAGCTCTTGTATCGTCACAACTGGCTACAGTGGTTTATTTAACAAAGAAAAGACAAGATAGGTCTATGTTGAGATGGAGCAAATTTGAAAGTGCTAACACACTTCAAATTGACGGATAGGACTTTTGCAGCAAGGTCACTTTTTATGTGATTCTCAGAGGCGTCAGGCGCCAGTCTCGACACGGGGGTTACTGCCGTCAAGCAGACTTTATTCGTATTAGGAACGATGGCATTTACAGGTAGAGAATTTTGAGTTGGGAACTTGCTTGTACAACTCGTGCGACTTGCTCAGCATGATGAGCAGCGGACTCACCCGAGCAGTTAGGGGTAGATGCGGATTTATTGTTGTGATAAATATTATCGGAAAATTTAGACAGAGTAGCCTGAGCGGCACCATTGAGAGATGATACGTTTGCCAGCTCAGCATAACTGAAATGAGAAGGGCGGCTTATTTGTAACTTGTGTTACCAGCTGAGTCAACGGTAGAGGAGATCCTCATGTCCCTTGCCGATAAGAATGGAACACTCCAATGAACCGTCGAAGAAGATTTAGGCGAAGACGGGGGTGAACTAGTGCAAGCTACATTACAAGTTGGTCTTTTACAGCTGGAGAAGGTGCTAGCTAGTTGATAGCGGCATTCACCGAACGTTGTATAATTTTTTCAAACTGAGACGATGGATATTTTTCCGTACTGGTTTAGAAAAATTACTATCTGATTTAATACGCTGGGGTAGATACAGACCTTTCACAATCCTTTTCAACTTTCTTTTTTTCTCAGATCGACGTGCGTTCTAATTGTCGGTAGATAGTTTCCACTAGGATGCTAACGGTCACACTAGTGTCAACTGTGGCTGTGATTCGTTGCCCCGTGCGGCCAAATATAACGGTGATTCTGCTTTTTCGAAGTGTAAATTTTTGGCAATGTCTCGTTTAGGTACTACAGTTTTGTCAGCGTTGGCCTACCAGTTTGTTAACTTGATTGTGGATGAGAGATATTATTTATAATTGGCGTTACATCTGTATACTCTGACGATGATTTACTCGCTGCTGTAAAAAACTTATTTCTAGTTTCGTATGCCGCCATGCACCCCGAATCTACTAGATTAGTTGAGTCGTAACACCCAGTTGTCAATTTTGGTCTCGTGGGCCGGCACAGACCCCGATTTTACCAGATTGAAGTTGATGCGTAAGGTTCTGGATTGTGCTGAGAAAGACTATAAACAATTGATGATCCAGCATTTGTCCTATTTGTGACGCAGTGAAGCCTAGAGGCGTAGAATCCTGTGTTCGTGGTAAAGGTTCTTTCGCAAATCTGACCAGGAATGTCAGAGCGAATTAGAGAGAGACCTGATTTTTCATTCGCTTAACAACTCTTTTTTCCTCTTTTTTTTATTTGACATTTCTCTTGGGTTTTCCTCTTATTACAAAAATAAAATTAAACAAATTCTTAATATATTTAAAATAATTACATTTATATTCAGATAAATTTTTCAATGTTCAAGAGGGTTAAATATATTTATTTATGCATATAAAAGAAGTATAATAAAGGGAATACGTATATAATAATAAGACTTTAATAACTTAGGGTATCACACAAAAATTATGAGTGCGAACGAATAAAACAAAGAACCTCATAAGATGATGGTTAAGCGCAGCTTAATATCACGATGGTTAGGCATTGCAGTTAATGTTGAAAGTGATGATGATGTCGAATGAATTAAATAACTTTTTTTACTTAAAATTTTATATAGAATCGAGTCAGCAAGATGGCTTTTGTTTTATGTTTGTAAGCAATGATAATGCACATGTTGCAAAAAAAAAAATGCAATTTCCAAATAGGCACACAATTGAATGTTTTACTGAAATTTTTTAGTATACAATAATTTACAATATCTTAGAATTTCTTCGAGTCATTTAATCTCGGTTTATTTATTTTAAAAAGAAACCGTACACCGTATTTCGTTAAATTACAATTGACGTTACTTTTGTTTTTCTCTAGTTTTACACGACACCCCCTATACCTTTTTTCCTCCAAAAAAAAAAAAACTCAAAGAAATGTTCCGTGAGTGAACTTAACAATTACTACAACGCAAGGGTACATTCTTAACGAAAATTGTTAAGTAAACCCACATGTTGCAGGGGTTTATTTCTTTGCCTTTGCCTCGGTTGAAATCGCTGATGTCCGTGAGGTTTGCGCTGCTTCATGCTTTTCCTGTAAAACTCGAAGTCTTGTTGTAGCTCCGGAGTCATGTTCTTCTCCTACAAAGTGTCTTCGTAATTCGTCGACGATTCCAGTCGTATCCAATTGAAATCCTGTTAACTGCGCCGATAGATTGTCTTTGCGGACCGTGTAGGCTCATGTTTTCCTAAGTACGTTCGCTATCTTACAACTATTTGTTAATACATCTTGTACAATAATTGCCTCAGAGTGCTCTTCCACTGTTAGTTTTCGTTAAACTGGGTTATGTCTTTTTTTTACAATCTTCCATTTTTAT